GGGGGGGGGCTAAATCTTGGGTATTTCCGACGTTCCCCATGTTTTACAGTTTTGTAACTCTTATGCAAGGGGTGATGCCATGAACACAGGGAGAGGGAGTTGTCACTGGCGCCTTTTCATACATCAATAGAGATATCATCCGCATCCTTGCAGCTAGCTACCTTACTGTGGAATTGTTGTCATAAGGGTTTCTGGAGATAAGTTTCGCTGGTTTACCTAACATGCTGTGATGTTGGCTCACCGAGGTACCTCGACGACAAAGACTCCGAGCACGTCAAAGTCAAACACGCTCCCCACTTGTACAGCCTACGTATACCTCCTTCATCCCGATCTCCTGCAAGATGAGTTTCTCTACAAGAATGAGCACGTCAACGTTCCACATTGGATATCGGAAGCAGGCACGTATCAATTTGCGAAGTGAAATAGAAGGCTCGTCATTATGGATGTAATATGTATCACCCGTGGTATCTTTTCCGTCCAGTCATTACAAATACAGGCCCCTGGTTCAGAGGGCGTAATTCTCAGTGTGCAAGTAAATCTCCTCGAGCATATCATCGCCCCATATCGCTGCCTGAAGCCGGGCAACAGTGTTCGCCACACCAACACGCATGGCCGGCGGCCCACACACGAATACCGCCGTTCGCCTGCCGAGGATGCCTCTGCCGTCGGCACCGCCCGTCGCCCATTCTTTCAGCATGTATCCCAAGTCCGGCCGGCCATATTCGACGCTCCACCCGCCATCGATCTGATGGGGCACTGGGAAAGCAAAGCGCATCAGGCTCTTTTGGAACTCTGTAGGCGTCTCCGGGAAGCCGAAGTCAAAGCCTGAAGGCGGGCCAAATGTGCTGGTGGGACGGGTTTGACCTGCGCTCGGGAGGTTGGTCGTCCTCAAGTGAGCCAGCTCTGGAGGCCGTATTGGCACATCCGAGTTTCGCGGGCTTGTCTCGGGGATCTTCCTTGGGGAGGCAGGTGCGTAGTTGAAGTGCGGCACTTCGCCTTTGGTGTTGATGGGAGGGAAGTGGAACTCGCGCTTTTTGGAATCTCTTTCTTCCTCCTCGTCGTATTCGCGGCCCTCGAGCTTACGCAATGACTCTTCCTGGGCAGAGAAGCGATTGGAGGGTGGTGGTCCTGGGGGTGGAGGTGGGTATTGATGTGGTTGTAAATATTTCTGCTGCGGTAAGGCGGTAATTCTATCCTCTTGCTCGGCGCGCAATTCCTGCTCTCGGTCAGGATCGCCTTGTGCTACAGACTGGATAAGAGCGGAATTGCGCTTGGAAGCAATTCCTGCCACAAAGCCATCGAGCTTGTCATGGAACATGTGACTCAAGGCCCTCGGTGCAGGACGGTCGTGGCCAGCCATCATCATGGCACGGTTGCGCACTGCTGAAGTGACGAAAAACTTGCAAGTAACACTCTCTGGGGGCGCAGACTCGCGGCAGATTCTGAGCTCTTCACGGAACCAGTCCATGGCTTCGAGTCTTTTGAGGGCCCATACCACGACCACTTTGCGCGTGATGGCTTTCCCATCACGCATGCGCTTGATCAAGTTGAGTAATTGCGACATCAATGCCGTGATGCCACTCCCACCGGCAATGAGGATACAGGTGTCGAAGGCTGCTAGGTCCCTTCGCATGCCTCCATATGGCCCATCCAAGAAGGCGCGGTATGTGTGGAATGGCCCCCTCTCGATGGCCATGTCGAGGACCTTCCGCGTGAAGCCACCATACGGCTTGAAAACCAGCACGCAATCACGGTACTGCTCGCCGTACTCGGAAGGAAAATCCTCGCTACAGAGCGACGAGATAGTAAAAGGGTGATTGTCGAAAAAAGCGACTCCTGGCATGCGAAGGTAAACATATTGGCCAGGCTTCCACCTCATCTGAGTCGGGATCGTAATCTTGATGGCGTTCTCAGCGAGGAGGCTAATGGCCGCTTCGTCTCCGACCATGAAGCTCAGTCGCCATGGTCTTGTCCAGTTGAGGTTTATCAGGCGAATGGCATAGCAGAGAACCCAGATGCCGACTGTTGCCCACAGGTAGTCCCAAGAAGCAAGGTAATTCTTGGTGTGCCAGAATAGGAGCCCAACATACACCATGCCAACAGGTACATGTAGCATGACGAAGAGCTCGTATGCGACTCGGCGAATGAAGGGCAGAGATGCGACGCAAAGCCAGACCAGTGGCACAAGACAGGCTATACCAGTACCGTAGATGACGCCGCTGCCGCCGGGGAATAGGCGAGAAAAGACATCCATGCCACCGTCGTCCCATACTGGCTGAACGTAGAATGGAATGGTATGTACAAGCGACAGAAACAGGCAGAGGTAGCCTGCCCATCTGTGGAAGACATTGAGGCGCTCCGGCCCGATGCCAATCAGGATGGACAAGACATTTGCCTTCATGCTGGTCACAATGATCCAAGGTGTCAATGCGACAGCAATCATTCCGGCTCGAATAGCAATGGGTGGCGAACCGAATTGAATGCTCTGCCAGTATAGTGGTTGCTGGAGAAAGCAGTAGAGCGTCACAAAAGCCAAGGCGATGAGACCGCAGGTAACTACGGCGAGGGAGGAGAATGTGAAACGGTGGCTACCCCATACAAAGTCGGGAATCGGCCGGTAAAAGACCCAACGGAAGAGGGCCAAGGTATCGTTAACGAAGCCAACTGAGGAGAAGTGAGCCCTTGGTTTGAATTGCTTCTCGCCAAGCCCTTCGGAGTCGGGGAAGAAGTGCTGTGCTTGTCCCGTATGTACGGCGTGTGCGTAGTCGGGATCCGTGTTGTAGAGGTTGGCATAGTATTCCTCCACTTCTTGCTTGTATATGGCTTGGCGAATTTTGTCTTGCCAAAAGTGCCAAGATCGCATAAACAGAACTGTTCCCATGAGGGCCAGCGCGAAGTAAGTCCAGCCCATGCCATATTTCCCAGACTTGGACCAAGGGTCAACTGTTAAGGCCTCGATTAAACCTGGCGGACTGTCGGGTTTGGGCGTGATGGCAATGCGCTTGGCTAGTTGTGCTGCCGTTTTGGTGGCAGCGTCTGCCAGGTCGCGGATACGAGTAGCCATTGCAGCAAGGCGACAGAATTCGAATTATACTGCGCGGTAGGGCGACTGCGCGCGGAATTATACAGTTATGTCGACATACGGTGCAGTCTGAAAGAGTTCAATGGCTGGGGGTCGTCGGGATAGTAAGATACCTGCCCCTCGCTGGTCGGTTGATCGTGTAGCCAGCTGAGAAGAATCGAAAGCGTAATGTGTGCAAGAACCCTTGGTAGCGGGGCCAAGATGAGTAGGTTCAATGCAATGCGATGCTATGCTTTGGCGGACTAACGAGCGACCGGTAAGAAAACAGACGGGAGCACGGGAAAGCGCGAATTGGGGGCGCCACCAGGGGATATATGGAGGTGAGATCGGAGACGCTCCGAAGTGGAGAGGTCCCAGTGGTTTGACTCTGGGGTGTGGGCGGCGTGATGAGCACACCTCTGTTATCGACAGTCTCGTCACGTTGCCTACAGATTCGGTCGGGAAGCGGGTTCAGTCAAGCGTAGTGACATGTGTAAAGGTAGAGGATAAGTGTTAAGACGGCGAATATTCCATGTGGAGGGGGTCGGATGGGCTGCGACCTCGATGGGGTCGTGCAATGAAAAGCCAGATGGGGGATGAAGGGCTTTTCTGGGTCGGATGGGCGAGTGTGAATGGCACGAGGCCCAGCGGCTGACCGTACTTTAATATTGGCTGGCCGCGATTCTGGTCGTTCCCCGTGGGCGGATGTCACACAATGCAGGCCGGTGCGTGGGCGCTAGAGGTGTGGATGCGATGCAGGAGCAAGCTGCAAGCTGCAAGCTCTTGGGCAAAGGTACGGCCGTTTGCTCGGCAGACAACGACTATTGAAGATGAAGACCAGGGGTGGCAAGCGGGATGGATGCGTTGGTTCCGGGCGCCATCAACGAAAAGTGTGATCGGCGGGAGGTAAGATGTCCAGATTGCCAACGTCGCCGCAGCGCTAGTTCTTGTCGATGTCGTCTGGGTCGATATTCAGACACCTGAACGAGGGAAGTCGTAGGCAGCTGTATAAACAGAAACGACTTTGCAATACCGTCGGGGTAACGTCCTCGGTGACGAAGACTGTCTGTGTACCCGGAGGTTGTCAGTCTAGAAACGTAAGCGGCAGTCGCGGCCTCCACGGCGTGGAAGATGCGGTTGCTGACGGCCACAGCTATGCTTCAGTAACTTCTGGAACAGCAGAACTGAGCTTTCGTTGGTTCGGTCGTGCCATGTGCCATAAGATGATGGGAAGGGCCGGAGAGCGTAGGTAACACTACTCTTTGAACAGCCGTCATTGGAGCAACGCCGGAATGACGGCAGAGCATTTTGAGGTGCGATCAGTGGAGGCCGTCAAGTTGACCGCCGAAGGAAACATTGAGATGGAATTGACCAACAGCTGGCAAAAGTGACCAAGAAACTGCAAGGCGAGGGCCTGCAGAAGCTGCATGGGTCGGCACACATGGTGGACAGGTGCATATTGGGGGCGGTTGATGCTCTTGGTGGCGGTCGAATAGCAGAGTGAGAAGAGGATGTGACGGGCAAAGATGTGGTCGACAACTTTGACAGAAAGGCCGATGGAGGAGGACGAGGGACGGCGGAGACGGTCGAAAAAGGCGGGAGACCCCCGGCATTGCAGCGTGATTCGCAGATTTGGGAAAGGGAAAGCTCCAGTGGGGTTACCTTCCCGTTCGGACCCCAGCCACTACGGGCGGTAATTCGGTGGTTTTGGTTGGCTGGGATATTGGATTGTTCTCCACTATGCGCGTTTGTGTGCCCCTCCTTGCGCTAGTCACACCGCGGTACGTGCCCAGACACCTTCCGTCGACGAGCAGGTACGGGGTACTCGTACCTGCCTACCTACCTACTTGCACCAACGCAGTTACCTCCCTATGTACCAACAGGTCAGGGCAACCACGCCCGTCCCGTCGCCCGCACCTTCCAGGTTCATGTCCAGTCTTTCCCATTGACTTTTGGTTGGTTGGCAGTTGGGTCTTGCCTGTTGAAGCTTTTCGGCCCAAGCTTCCGCCGCATTCCGTCCAGCACCGACCCTTGGACCCAATTGGACCACTGGACCTGCCCGGGGATGTTTGGCAACTGCACCTCACTCTATCCGTTCTTTTAACCACATGGTAAAACCAAGCTTCCTCTTGATGAACAGCTGTAACAAGATTCTTTGTTCGCTCATCAGCCGGTACCTGACTTCTGTAATGCACCACATTCCTCCGAGGACGAAAACCCGCGACCTGCAATCGCTTACTTGGACCACTCCAACGTCGCTGACAGATGACCCGTCGTACTTGTCCAAGAACCCCTCTTCTTTCTCTCTCTCTCTCCCAATGCTACAATTGCAGCATTTGAACATGGCATTCAAATCTTTACCCGAGTCAAGCACACGGTGAATACCTCCTCCTGGCCGCCTCTTTCCAACCAGATCTGGAAGTCCAGATTACCGTGCATCCCAAACAGGCGAAAGCAACAGAATTCGACCCCGCCGCCCAGAACCGCCAACCGCCAATAGCCTGGCTAAAGATGTGACGAATCTCTTTCGATCCCTGGTCCCAATAGATTGGGCTGCCAACAACATGTCCACCTTCTATGGCTGGCTGGCATATGCCAACATGTCTCCCACCATGTCTCCCACCATTCGAACCTACGATCATACGGACATGGTCAGACACCCTGCTGTCATGCATGTCCTTCCAAGATATTGCTCAAGATGCAGATACCATGCAAGCACATCATTTCTCATCACCAACCGCCAAGAAGCAAACATATGTCGAGATGCGATACCCATTCCTCGTCGTCTATGTACGCCGTCCAAGTTCCAACACTCCTGTCCCGACCGCCTACTGTCCATCCATGACCCGGCCACGGAACACAAGCAAACATGCCAGTCACCAGCCCGGTCTCCCGCCCGTCCCGACCCTCTACCCAGCGTGATCAGATACCGGGCTGACCCTTGCTCTTTCCTGTTGCCCAAACAGTTCGATTGACTGAGGCCGCTTCCGATTCGCCCCGCCAGTTGCTCCTCACACGACTCCACAAGTTGAATGTGAGCTGGAAGAATGCTCGACGACTGCCACTTTCTGTACAGCATTGGCACTAAGACCACATTCGTAGACCATTATGACGAAGGCAAGTATTATACATGACAGAATATCAGATTTCTCCAAGCTATCTAGTAAAGACTACTACTACGTCTATCAAATTCCTTTATATCCGCATCAAACGTATGTCCATCTTACTGCCGCTGTTAAACAAATATGACGCGTCCGACGTTATGCGTCATCCGTAGCCTCCTCAGTTCCCAAGAGTTGTACTTAAGAACGCTGGCCTGACTCCTGCGAAAACCACCACCCAACCCTATCGTCAGGTTCCAAGAGGCAATGTCCCCTGTGCTACCATTAGTCCTCTTGGTCATTCAAGGGATCGTCCCACTATCTCCCCAATGTATGATGGGGAGGCTGTAGGGCTCTGTTTACTTTCTGAAGTTTCCGGTGAAAAGCTTTCGGTCTAATTAGCAGAGGGAACGAGCTTCACCTGTAGCTCAGAAGTAATCAGGCTAGGTGAGTGGCCCAGCTGCATCTCTACTTTGCAACGGAGGTCGTCGAATTCCACGCTACAGGGCAGCCATGACGTGAGGAGCATGAACAGTCCTTCTCGAGCATTCCTCGATACCTTACAGATCATGATGGCAACATCTGTTTCCAAAGATGAAGAGGTTGAGAACTCCTGCACGAAGCCTTTATTGAGCTCGTTTTTCAGCGCAGACAGACACTGCTGACTGTGTGGACATTCGAAGGCCGGAATGACCAACCCTTCGAGGTTTGGGAGGTTTCCATCTTCAAACACTCTCTCACAGAGTGGGCCATCCAACCCGCCAAAGCTGTTGAGCCACTCTGAGTGATCGTGTTGTCCGTCTCTTTGAAGTGAGTGGTCCGCGGGAACATACAGCCAGCAAAACGTCGACAAATCCGTCACATGGACGTCATCGCTCTCTAGTTGCCGCAAGTGCAGGTTCCTGACGCTGGACCAATTCATGGCGGACCAATCTCGATAGTTGCCTGCGAAGAAATCAAGATGGACTGTCTCGCGCCGCGGTGCTGATTCTAGCAGACGTCTCGCGTCGCTGCTGCCGGAGTACGGGTCATCTTCACCCGTAGCATCAAACGTTCCAAGTGTGTTCTTGCCGAGCCGAATGTCCGTAAGCGCATCGTAGCGTGCTGGAAATCCGACGCCAGTGGGGAGACATCTTAAGAATCCTTTGATATGGATGGGTAGCTCCAAGGTCTTGATGTTGCGCACCTGTAAAAGTACCATCATCGCCAAGACACGAGTCCGCTGGATGCCCGGCTGCAGCCAATCGTCCGTTACTTGCAGTCCGGTTTGCTCCGCGGCGGCTTGCAGGAACGCCATCTCCGACGCCGTGAAGGCCAGCCCATCCTCATTCCAGGGCCGACTTGACGCTCCTTCGTCTCTTTGGCACCGATATAGAGAGACTGCACCGCCAACGGCTGTCACGGGCGGCTGGAACACCACTGGAGTTAAGTGAACAGCTGCCGCTAGAAGGACCCAACGTCTCAAGAGATATGGCTTCTATCAAGACAAACATTCATGTCAACTCCATTACCTCACTTGATGAGCGCCTTGAACCTGTGGTAAAGCCTTAGCCGGATGTCTCTAATCTTTATCAATTACCAAGAGCCTAATGGTAGAACCTCCAATATGGATGGTTCTCCATCTGGCCATCCTCGTCATAGTCAATCACTACATCTCGAGGCGGTTTCCCAAACTCCCGATCTCGCCTCCTATTTTCCCGGATATTCATCGCCGTCACAAACGCGGCCCCAACACCAGTCCAACACGTAGCCGCAAACAACGTCCAGAACCCTTTCTTATAGCTCGGCCCATCCGTCGAAGGGAAGAGATATCCCGTTGCTATGCCCATCGTACTCCCAAAAGACTGAAACAACCCCGTCGCGATCCCCTTCTTGATATCACCGCAGCAATTACTCGTGATGTTGCCAACGCTCAACGTAACACCTGACAAAATTCCAGACAAGATCAAAAACGTCGCGCCATACCTCGCGCTCGCAGCCGTATGCGGCAACACGGCAAGCAACAAATCTCCAATAGCAGCAACAACAGAACACCCCACCAACAACCCCGAACACGACTTCACCCGATCACTCGCCCACCCGACAACAAACACCATGACAAACGCAACACAATACGGCGGCGCCGTCATCAACTGCGCCTTGACATTATCATACCCAAACGTTGCCACAATAATCGGCGTAAACGTCGCAATCGTGTACGTCTGCAGCACCTGGCCCATATAAATCGCAATGTTCAGCCACAGCCGCCAGTCCCCCGTCAGTTGCGCCGCCGTCGTGCGCCAGTGGACTTTGCCGTGCGTGCGGTTACCGTCACGCATCATCCGCCAGGTAGCGACGTCGCGCTCGCGCGGGGTGAGCCAGCGCGTGTTGTGTGGGCGGTCGGGCAGGACCCAGATGCAGGCTATGCCGAAGAGGATGGTGACGAGCCCCTCGATGACGAAGAGGACTTGCCAGTGCTTTATGAGCGGGTTGGAGATGTTGGAGACGCCGTAGGCTACCCAGCCGCCGAAGGCGCCTGCGAGGGGGGTTGCTGAGAGGTAGACGCTTATGCGACGGCCCCATTCCTGAGATTGTTAGGTTTTGGGGACAAGAAGAAAGTATCAAGAGGTTTGCGGGAGTGACTCACGGCTCTGGGGTAGAGAACAGTCGTCAGATACGGTGCCCCGGAGATGAAGGCCGCTTCAAAGATGCCAAGGAAGAACCGGATCGCGAACATCCCGCTGGGACCGCCGGCAACAGCTTGCAGCGTCGCAAAGATGCCCCAGATGATCTATGAGCTTGGTGAGCTTTCGTCCATGTACTGATATCCCTCTTGCGCATCAAACTGACCATAGCCGTAGCAAGGTACACCGAAGGCCGGATATACCTCATCCCAATATTCGTAAACAGGTCAGAAATCGCCGTGCCGACAAAGAACATGCTCACGGCGAGAGAGAAGTCTCTGCTCGTGAACCCAAGATCTTCCTTCATCCCCATCAGCGCCGCGTTCCCCAGCGCCCCACGGTCCAGCCAGGTGAACATGTAGAGAATGAGCAGGAAGGGGGGCAGTCGCATATCAATCTTTCTCCGTACGCGTCTCTCCTCCTCTGGCGTCACAGGGGGATCAAGGTTGTTCATCCGCGCTACGATGTCTTCGTCTGCGTGGACCTCGAGGGGTGCCTCTGAGTGCGATCCGCCGGTTTCTTCATCGTTGAGTGAGCCATTTTTGTGTAGACCTTTGATGTCCGTGGATTTCGTTACTTCTGCCATCATGTTACGCGGGCGGCCGTCGAAATCTTGAATACAGTTCCTACGGGGCAACCTGAAGGCCTCCTGGTGAGTAAAAGTGGTCGTAGACAGCTCTCGATTCTCTCTTCACAATAAGTCAGAGAAACCTGCACAGAAACTGAATTTCATACGTCTGTATTAGCGATGCGCGATGATTGTCGATGGTGTTGGCAATTATAAGCTTTAGTTTCATCCCAAATCAAGTCCCTGTCGTCAACCTTTTTCCGTCGAGCCGCATGCCGCGTTGAGAGTTTCTCGACCCCTCCTCGGCCTGTCCCGCGCGTACAAACATCCGAGCTCCCCAACCGTTCCCCCGCACGCGAGACCGAGAAGCGGTATACCAAAGTCGGCCAGTTGCATGAGGTGAAGCTTGATTCGCACCGATAACGCATGTGAGTGAGTTGTTCCACGAGTATCGGTCGGCTACGGTGCCGATCCCTTCTCGGTTTCACTCCCCTGCGCAAAGAGTATGAGGAGAATGGGACTGGTCGGATTTAAGGAGATCCTTTCAATTTGGCCGCCAGGTTGAGCATCCACGGGAATGAATAGCTCGTCGAGCGACACGGAAGAGAACAAGCGGCCTCGGAGCATTTTGTACGACTTACAGGCTCTAAGATCTCGGCTACGAGGTTTGACATTTGTATCTTTGCCGATTACGGGAGGAAATCCGCACTGAAGTCGGATGATACCAAGTTCAGTCTTCCATGAAATGTTTCTCTCAGAAGGCAGCACAAAGCAGTAATTCAAACCTTTTGAGGAAGAAACAGCAAGCCAAACGCAAAGTATAATTGATTTGAAGGAATGACAAAATGCTGTAGCCTGCTTCAAACTCGTGTGCCAAGAGACAGGGTTCATCGTGCGCGCCCTGCCGCAAATGACTGGGGTCTCAAAACCAACAAATCAACGATTCGATATCGTAGTCGGTGGTTCTCAAGATCTGCTCGTTCATGCCGAAGTTATCATGCATCACGAATCACCTTCAAAGTATCGCAGCTATGTCCCTTTCTCGAGAGATGTGCTCCGGCTTGCCCGAGGAACGAGACGGAGTTGGCGATGCCGGACCACTTTGACGGGAATTATAACCCCCGATCCTCAGCGAAAGGCCAAGGCCCATTGAAATTGTAGTTTGGCTCTTCTCTCGAACTCTAGGCTCTCGAAGAGTATAAAGGGAAACGAAAGTCGTTACATTACGATGGTTGCAGCTTGGATCGAGAACCCAGGTCCTCGTGCACTTTTACACATAATCATTCAGCCAACGTACACGATGAGGTTCACGTCAACGACGTGCGGCCTCGGTGCCCTTCTCACCCTTCTCGTTCCAGCTCTAGCGGACGAATCTGCGCGCATCATCACTTTCCTCACCCGAAAGGCTGGAATGACGGAGCAAGAGTTCCACGATCACTGGACGAACACGCATGGCCCCCTCGTCGTGCCATGGGCTCTCCAGTACGGCGTCAATCGGTACACTCAGGTAAGTGACGTGATATCATTACCCAGTCCTTGATTAAGAGCCTTTGGAGCTCACCGAGATGGATTCCACAGTACCACACCACCGAGGCAAATCGCACGACCCTTCAGAAAGCTCTAAGGCTGCCGGACGAATACCTCTTACAATACGACGGAGCGGCCGACTTCACCGTATCGAGCATCGAGCAGTTCTTGTCCGCTTATGCGGACCCTTACTACAAACAGGTCATTGAGCCCGACGAGAAGTCATTGTTTGCTCATAGTGGAGATGTGATGGTAGTTCGGGGCTCGCTGGGATGGACTACAGACATTATTGAAAATGGCGGAGCTGTGGTGGATGTCGCGGGTGGTTGTAGCAAGTGGCGAGAAATTCATGGAAGTGCGAGAAGGGGGTGTTGATGATTCCGATGCGCCGGTCAAATCTACCTTGTAGGCTGATTTTCTTAATGACACCGAGTCGTGAATGTTTTCTCTCTCAGCCAAAAAGCCTGGTTATCGAGGCTAGCTCGTTGGGACATCACCGAGCAATTAGGATGTCTCCTAGACTTCGTTCGCAAAGAGTATCCTGATGAGTGGACGGGTACTTCACATAGAGCTGAGAGCCGGCCCGGTGTTGGTACTTCTACACAGTCAATAGTTTGGTCTTCAAGTGGTTCGTTGGGTGATTCATTGCCTCGCATTGGTCGCTTGAAAATCGTACCTACATGCCATATCCTAGCTCAGCACCGGGCCGGCTACATGCGCTTGCGGCCCGTAGTATTGAACCCCAGACTTACGCCAAATACGCGGGGCAAAGGTTCGAGAGTCACCTAACGATCAAGAAACAACATTTCGTGGATAAAATCTTAGTTGAATTTTATTGTTTAGATCTCTGCTTCAACTCACCGCGCTCCTTTACCAGGGCTGAAATCTGGTTGCCCAAGTCCGAGTTCAACGCCTTGAATCCCTCGACAACACCTTGGCGATCACCCTCGCCCAACTCCCGGCTCATCTTGAATTTGCCCTGCAGCCTGTCGATGGTGATCTCAATGCCAATGATAGCCATTTTAGACAGATCAATGTACCGTTGCGGGGCATCCGAGATTTGCCACGGCCCAGGACGGCCGTCTTGACCAGTGTATCCCATGATTGACTGCTCTCCCAGTTGTGAGAGATCGTGGAGCTGCTTGTTCAGGAAACTCGACGTCTCCTTAGCCTTAGACTCGTAAAAGATCTTAGCGCGGCCATACGCCTGTACCGCGGCGTAGTTCCAGGTCGGTACGACTTTGGCCGTCGTTGGCTTAGTTTCGACGTAGAATTTCGGCGTGACGTAGGAGTGGGCGGGCGTGGTGAAGAGGACCAGCACCTCCTGATCGAGAACGTTTTCGGTCCCAGTCCGGTTTTCTGCCGCTAGTGACTCGACCATCGCCTTGCACTGAGGATTTGCGCGCGCCACGTGACCTCTCAGGACGCCGAGCTCGGTTTCGCTAGAATCATCTTCGACATCCAATACCCAGGGGATGTGGCTAGACTGGATGAAAGGATGATCGGCCGACGGTATAGCTGTTGTAAGGACACCGAGGGGATAGTCCTTGATGAGTTGACGAAGTACTCGAATACTATTCTCCACGTGATCTTTCCGAAGCTGCATGGTGTCGAAGACAAGAAGATGGATACAGTAAATTGGCTAACTGGCGTTGTTGTTTGTTGATATCAATGGGTTGAAATTGATAGTGCTGAAGTTGATCTGATGACAGCGGTTTATGTCGGTCCACCGGCTTTATAGGGCCGGGCGCTTCCGTGTATCTCCTCTAGTTCCTGCCGAAACGTAATAGGACATGTGTTTGAAAGGGCGTGCATGCGGTCCACTAATTATGGTTTCTAACGTCAATCGCGGAAGTTTTCGCCTCCGCAAGTACTCGCAATGGCAATATCACAACCACATCTGGAAAGTCTGTTCATTAACGCCAGAGGCCGGAAGGGCTCGATCTTCGACGATCGCATTGACTTATATTCTGATGACTTCAGCCACCTATCTCCGTACTCGTGCGTAACAAAGACCGTTCCGCGGTCTCAAGCTTGGCCGTCACTGTAGAGAGTCAGTCAGCCCCGGTGACTCAACCCCCAACATGGCATCTCCGCGGGAGATAGGTTAGATAGCTTCGGTGCGGGTGACTCTTATCTGAATCCGCATGAAAGGTGCACAAGCAAGCAAGGTCTGCATGAGCAACTGCGTTTACACGTATACGTACACTCTGACGCATTTCGAGGGATGTTGTTTGTCAGAACTAGCCAATTACAAGAGACTGATTACATCCAGGTGCAGGACTCCCGGCCCCGCGATGTGGATACGAGGGGCGGGGCTTGGCACCGGCTCCAAAGCCGCTTGTCTGCCGGAATAGAAGCGAGGGAACTGGTGGATACCGGGATCCGGCAACCGGTGGTCGGAGCATTCATGGTTTACTTACTTACCTTACGTGGAAAGTCTCGCCGCATCTCAACATAACCCTACAGAGGCCTTTGAGCTTTGAGGAATGGAAAGATGCGGCACTCTTGTTCACTGACAAACAAGAATTTCCAGCTTTGTACATCTGACAACATTATCTCTCCGGAAAAAGGCATTACCTTAGCCGATGATTCCATTTTTTAAAAGCTGGCTATCGATGAGCGCGCTCTAGCGTTATCTCATTACTACCAATATTTCAAGCAGCTCGAATCTCCCACCAGAGCCATCTGAGCCATCCAACATCAACCCACGCGTGAAATCTTGAAGCCTCCTGGGATTCGCGTCTGGAACTTCCCTTCAGGATCATACTTGGCTGCAACCTCGCGGATGAAGTCCACATTAGCAGAGCCATACGTCTTGATCGGATCTTGGCTTGGGTCAGCGTAGTTCAGGTAACACCAATTGACGTTTCCATCGACAGAAATAGCATAGTCTGCGATTTGGGCAGACGCTGAGGCCATACGTGCTCGAGCAACAGCTTCCTGAGCTTCGGTATTGATGGTAACGAGACCAAGCCAGAGAATTGCATTCTCCTTCTCCCCATCAAGACCGAGGACATTACCACCATTCTCGGTACCAATGGCTGCGAAGTAGGCAGGCAGTGGTTGGAAGACCATCTGCGTGGTGAACTGATCTGCCCCGACAGCAACCTTCATAGCGTCGACGAAGTCCTGGTGAGCCTCGACAGCCTTCTTCAGGATTGCTTCTTCGTTCTTGAACGTTAACGTAAACCACACAGATCTATACCGTAAGGTCAATCCAGGTATTACTTTCAAAGTGTAAGGGGCAACGAGACGCTACGAACCTAGAGCCGGCAGGAGTCTGGGAGTTCAATGCCAAATCAGCCATGCTCCGATGAGTCATGGTGCTGCTGATGGCGGGAATCTGGTTGATCTTCGCGAACGATGTGGTGTTCGAATTACCCTGGGTGTTGATGCGAGAAGCAGCAATGAGTATATCGTCGCCCAAAGCAGTGTTGTGGGTGTAGACAACAACCAGTGCGTCGTCAGCCAAACTCTGATCGTGGTTGGTGAAGTCGACGACAGCACTGACGACGGCATCGGAGTTATCCTTGGTCATCATGTGGATACCCGTGTAGAGATCTTTTGCCGGTAGTGCCTCGAGATCGAATCTTGTTACGATTCCAAAGTTGCTACTGCCACCCTTGAGAGCTTTGAAGAGGTCAGGGTTGGTTTCCTTGTTGGCATTGAGGACGCTGCCATCGGCAAGCACGACCTCGTAGTTTCGCACAGAGTCTGCTCCAAAACCCATGCGGCCGGTGTAATAAGAGTTGCCGCCTCCCAGAAGAAAGCCACCGACACCCACGCCTCCATCGCGGCCACCGGTCACAGTAACATTGCTCTTGAGAAGCTTGGCATACACATCCTTCCAGTGGTCTCCGGGGCCAACAGAGGCAAGATTAGTCTCCGGATCGTAAGAGGTCTGGTTAAGGTAGACCAAGTCGATTGTCACACCGTTAGCAATGTTGTTAGTGCCTGCCCAGTGGTTGTGGCCTCCTCCACAGACCGCAATGTGCCAGTCTCCGGCACCTGATCCAGCCTCTAACAGTGTAGTCAGAGTCTTGGATACTTCGGTGGTATCCCGTGGTTGGACAAGACACCACGGCCGTAGACGAGCACTGACAGACCAGTATGTCGAGATCCGCGCCTCGTAGCCTGCTTCGGTTGCGAGAAGCAGACGATCTGCCAAGCCTGCGGCGATGAGAGCATCACACTGTCATGGCGATATATTAGCGGCCGCAAATGATCGCATTCCGTTTCTGCAAGGGAATAGCATACAGGTGGAATACCGGTGCGTGGTGTCTCCGCGGACCAAATCGTTACTGAATCGGGAATCCTGTCGTTTGCCGCAAAGCAAATGCCAGGAAGGAACAACGTCGAAGCGGCCAAGAACCCCGCGCCCATGCCGGCGTAAGTCATGGGCATGGTGAGATTAGTAGTCGCTAGTTGCTCCACGATGCTTGTGATACTGCAAGATCTTAGTGATCTTGGGCGGACATGGATATGTTGTGAAGCCCAAGGTGTAAGAACTCGAGGCGTTGAAGGTCAACTATCGCTGGCGATTGCTCGTTTTAAAATAGCTACAAACAGTGTTATGCTGTAATTATGTGCTGCCAAGGACGGCGAGCATTTTCAGTGTTGGGTTAATGGTCCGATATCACTATGCGGAGTGATGGAGTTGCAGGACAAGGTATGATCGGGTTACGGCGGTCAGCATTAAGCGATGGCCGTCTGACAGTGACACGAGAGCAATACCCGATCACATATACTGTCGCTGGACCAAGCAAACAGCGCGCAGATGTTGGATTTTGTGAGAATGGACGACCGAGCCGTTCATCTTTGGGATTCGTTCTTGACACTTCGTCTCTCTTACGCGCTCGGAAGGCCCGATGCTGAAGAACACATAACAAACGAGCAAAGGTGGTCCTTAGAATGAGTCCAGTGCAGCGAATTGAAGAAAATTCTCTGTGAATTCTTCAGCAGGCGAAGCCTGCATATGCATATAGCGGCCAGGTACGGAATCCACTACCCGACAGTTCTTGACTCGCTGTTGGTCTGCTGGTTTCTCAGACATTGGATGTTGGTTATCATTTTACGTGATATTGCTCATTTGCATCTAGGCCAAAGTCTACTCCCATACCAGCCATGTCAGGTCACAGAAACTTGAGGCCTTGGGTCTGGCGTCACCTGAAAGATCTGTGAAATATTAGAAAGCGTGTTGTTGCGTCTTTAGAGTAGGTACAATAAGCTTGAAGCCGGTGGGATTGCATCTCATCGGCCCCTGCAACAATGTTGCAATAAGGCCCTTGCTGACCTAAAACGGGCTAAACGTCCGGGGAAGACAGTTCATGTGTCTTGAATCCCAGGTGAAAGTTTGGGGCACAGCGCCCGAA